ATATATAATTGTATGTATGTGTACCTTGACTCGCCGCATGAGTTCCATATCAAACTCAAAGCGTTTGAGATGAAAGATGAGGTGGTTAGGCAGGCTCTGCACTGACACTCGCTTCTCTGCGGCCACCTTCAGATCGCACCTAAGGATGAATGTGAGAGATTTAGGCTCTCGAGCATGATTTCTCCTTGACTTATCGATAAAAAACAGGTCTATATATTGCGAACACGTGCCTCTCAGTCGCACCTCGAGCAATCCGTTAAACGTTCATAAAACACCAACTACCTATGACCACCAGTCCACACGATGGACCACGAGGTTTAAAACGGCACAGAGTTTTCACAGTAGTATATCCTGGCGCGAGATACAACGCACCAACTACCTTACGCGGCACTGTAGCATTGCCCAGCATCCACGAACGCCCAACAACACATACACGCCGAATAAAGCTTAAAACAGCACATACTTCTCACAGTAGTACTTGTTGTCGCCCTCGAGCATCTCGCCTTTGACGTACATGGCCAGACTCTCGCGGATGTTCTGCTTGTTCACTACATCGCACTGAATAGAGAACAGGTCCTGTTCACGCTCACTCACATGCTCACAGTCCTTCGAGATGACCTGCTGCAGTAGCTTCCCCCTGTGTTTGTCGAGTGGTGCGATTTGAAACATATTAACATATTTGGTGTTAAGGAGAGAGCTGTTCTCATGCCTGTTGGTACTAGATCATAAACAATATCCCGCACATAAGGACATTATCTGTGGTCGTGTGAGGGAGCCAACCAATCATGCAACGCACGCGTAGCCTATTGTTCGTTTGTGGTGTCTGTACTGATATGCGATTATCATGTGCGGCGAAGATTACATGGACTTACTCGAGCGTGTCTTAAACGCGCATATAAAAAAATGCCATAAACGTACACAAATGTATCATTCATATCATAGAAAAAGTCAGATAGAACCAAACGTATAGAAATCAACATAAACGTAAGCAAACGTATCATTTGTATCATCGAAAAAGTCAGTTATAAACAAATGCATGAAAATTAACATAAACGTAAACAAATGTATCATTCATATCATAGAAAATGTCAGATACAAATAAACGCAGCAGAATTAGCATAAACGTAAATAGTTGTATCGTGCATATGCATAGATTTAGGGATAGCCATACTCAAACGTACCATTTCGTGCATAAAAATGCCATAGACACCCCCAAATGAAGCCCACGTGAGTCTAGAAGTACTATGAACTCTAGATTGCAGTCTTCAAATTCGTTTTAGGGGCTAAAGAAAAACGAAATGGACATACCTCCAGATAACTATTATGCGTGCAGACAATAACATCACAACCCCATCCCATATGAGCCTAACACCAGTCATAGGACATACCAAACGTATACTACATATGCCTAGCCAAAAACTACTAAGCGTGCAGACAATAACATCACAACCCCATTACATATGAGCCTACCACCAGTCATAGGACATACCAAACGTATACTACATATGCCTAGACAGAAAAATCCATAAACATTGCGAAACTGCCATAGATACCCCAGCGTAACCCTAGAAAAATGCCATAGATACCCCAGCGTAACCCTGGGAAAATGCCATAGACATACCCGAACGTATCCTTGAGGAGTGATTGCTGGGGCGAGCCCTTCAACAGCGCTTCTAATCGGTCGAACAGGACATTGAAGAATTCATCCACGTCCATCTGAAGATTCACGTCCACACACGCACCTTCACTCTCGTACACTGAACAGAACCCTTGCGCACTGTAGCACTTCAGCAGACTCTCCTGTCACGAGATTAGTCATATATAAAACAAGTAAAGGTGAGTCATATATGATATTAAAAAAAGTGAGTCATGGCCATATATAAAACAAGTGAAGGTGAGTCATATAAAATAGAATCCCGTGTGTCATACACTGGAGCCTCGTAGTAACGAGTGCGTGAGTTTGATCATGACTATCAGCCTTGGTACTATTTATACCGGACACGAAATGCGTAAGGCTGACTTGAAACGTAGTACGAGTGGAGTCAAATGTCTTGCTAGTCGGCAGGTACTCCGATGAGTATATAACCATATTCCTACACATATTATATATATATATATATATATATATATATATATATATATATATTATTATTTTATATGTATTATATTTATATGTATATATATATATATATATATGTATATAGTTATAGGTATATAGATATATATATATATAGACATATATATATATATATATATATATATGTATATATATATAGATGTAGATATAGGTATATATATATATATATATATATATGTATATATATACATACATATACTATATACTATATAGTATATATATATATATATATATATATATATATATATATATATATATATATATATATATATATATATATATATTAAAAGCAATTGCATTGATTCTTACATATTCTTCATACACGTTACAAGATAATTTACCTGGAGATGAGCAAAGATCATCTGGAGTTGGTGCAGTACCAACGCATGCGGTGTAGGGGGTGTTGTAGTCCAAGGTCTGCAGAGTAATCAATGGATAAATGTTTTCCGCTTCAGAGGTTAGGGCTTACGATTCAAGATTAAATATACAAATGTACGCAAAATCTCCCAAACAGTGCAGTTCCGGCGATGTAGGTGTGACTGTTGTTCTATAGTGCATGGGTAAGCCCACAGTGACCTGCTACAAGGTGAGGATAGCACACATCCACAGCAAACCCTCTCACATACTTGGTCCGAGTGGCCAATACTCCCCGGCGGAACTGCGGCACCATGAACAAGTTCTGCATCAGACTGTTCATATAGCACGTGGCTCCCAGATTCTCCAAGCCCACATATCCGCTAGCGCTCCTCTCCTGTATGCGTGTCACGCCTCCGCTGAGCTCTGGGTCAGCCCCGCACAGGCCCTCGCCACAGGCGACGTCACACACATCGTTGACACACACCCCCTCACACCCACAAGCCACCACCAGGCTGGCGTCCTTGCTGGTGCTGGTATGAGACGGGGTGCGTGTGGCTGTAGCACTGGCAGTGGTATCAGCCCTAGTACTAGCACGCCCAGAGGCACTGGTAGCAGCCACCACACTCTCGTCCGTGTGCATGCGGGAGAGCACCGTCAGCTCAGAGCCCCCGCTCTCCTTGCCGCCACAGTGCGTGTCCATCAGCAGCCCACACAGCAGGTGCCGCACTCTAGTACCGAACATCGTACTTCGCCCCAGCGTATCCAGCAACTCCCGCGCGATGGTTCGGCTCTCGGCCGTCTTGCACAGAGGAGGCGAGCGGGGCCCATGGTTAGTGAGCGTAGGCATGTCGAACAGACACTTCTTGGTCACAAACTGTACTAGCTCGTCTAGGATATACCGGGTGGGTGCATTGCCTTTTGGTACTTGGGCGACTGTGCCTGTGTGGCTGGGTGTGTCGGTAGGTATGCCGCCTTTGGACGCGACGTTGCCTAGCAACCGGAGCAAGCAGCCCAAGAAAACATCGGGTTCTCCTGTACGGTGTGTTTCCATTGGCGGGTGAGTCAGCAGTCTGTCCATCAGCACATTCATCAACACCACTATCGCCGAATCGTGACCTGGAAGAAGAAAGAAGTGTCATTAGATTAATATATATATATATATATATATATATATATATATATATATATATATATATGCACGTGTGTGTGTGCTTAATACATCTCACCTAAAAGTAAGGAGAATGTAGGTGTTTTATAGTAACCTACAATTTGTCAATGTGTGCGTGTTGTACATGTTTGATCGCAGGCTGCACTTACTTGTAGGCTGTGTGGAGGGCAGTGACTGTACCACAGCCGATACCAGATCGAACAGGTCTTGGCATTGCGTCGATTCTTTGGGCACAACTCGTAACAGAGAAGCAAAGGCCCCCAACAGATGCTCTGCAGAATAGATTAGAATATAATGTATTGCATATGAGAATAATAATAAGAAGAAAAATGAAGATTCAGAGATTAAGAAGATATGAAGTGTACACCCTCCGCACGCCATGATGAATGTATACAATATAATGACAGACTTTTAACCCACTTATGAAGCTTTCCCGTGCCTGTTGTGTGCTAGGGATGTGTAGAAACGCAGAACAACAATGAAATAAGAGACCGGAAATGGGTAGGCTACAATGCGTGGGGCATTCAGGAGGTGATGGTCCATTACAGACTCTACAGATTCCCGAGAAGTGATATCCAGAACCTTCTCTTGAAAGTACTGACAAGGCAAGACAGACTTTGTCAAAGCTCGCGAATACTAACCCCAGATCAGACGCATTGGATTCCCCAATAAGGGCACAGCCTGCGATGGCCGCGATAACTAAACATTCAACTAGCAATGACAGTATACTATACATACATGATAAAATAATGGATATTATACGAAAAGATTGCAATGCCAATAAACCATACATGCATATTCATTCACAGATTGCATATGGATGTATTGCATTGACAGTATACTATACATGCATAATGAACTCACAGATTATCTATAGATAGATTGCATTGGCAATATACTATACACACATAATCAGCTCACAGATTATCTATAGATAGATTGCATTGACAACATACTATACATACATATGAACTCACAGATTATCTATAGATAGATTACATTGACAATATACTATACATAAATGAATTCACGCATATTCTATAAAAAGATTGCATTGACAATATACTACACATACATAATTAATTCACAGATAATCTCTACATATATTGCATTGACTACATACTAGGCATGATGAAATCACAGTATTTTATAAATAGACTGCAATGTTTATGTACTATACACAATAAAATCACAGTATCCCATAAATACACATATATTACTGTACCAAACTCACCCTTATCCTCCAGCGTCAGCGCCTTGCTCAGCATCCGCAGGCCCACAGCCGCCTCGTTGCGCAGGTCAATAGACGCGGTAGTCACCAGCAGGTGCCCCAACACACTACTACCCCCGCTGCCTACCCCCGTCCCATTCCCGGCCATGTACGGGTGTGTGTCCAACTCGTTAGCTATGCTGGTACCTGCACCTGGGGTGGGTGGCTTGGTAGCTGGTTTGGTGGCATTGGTAGCTGGTTTGGTGGCATTGGTAGGTACAACGCTCTTAGACAGCCGCGCAAGCACGTGCGTAAAAGCATCAGCCGAGTTCTCCATGGCAGTCCATGAGGCACTCTGGTACACGCCAATCAACAGACACATACTCAGGCTCACACACTCCTTCAAAGTTTCTTCCATGCGCATAGCTACTTGCTGTGTGTGTGCGGAGTCACCCAAACGGCTCAGCTGCGTTACCAACGACTGGTTGATGTTGCTGTTACCGTGACCGTGACCGTTGCCGGTGCCGGTTCCGTTTCCTTGGCTACCGTTGTCATGGTTACTGGCACTGCTGCTCAGGCTGCGGCCCATCCCCGTCAGAGACATTAAGCCACTACCCGCCTTATTCTCACTGAGCTTACCTGTTTCGCCCACACTCTGGCTACTCACACGCACAATAAACTGCAGTATGTCGACGATATCTGTCACAAAACTCGAGATGTTCGGTACCTCCTTGCCCTCCACGCACACGTGGCGCTCATTGGTGGGGATGGCGTCACTGGCACCAAGCACGTGTCTGTCCACATCCTCTCTATAAATAGAGAAAAATGTTAACGTAAACACACGAATGAGTATGCGCGTACACCTACGCAGCATAACAATGACACTTGTGATATATAGAGAATATACAGCAGACGTTGAAAGTACAACATGCAAAAAACAGATAACACATGATACTGCAAACAGCAAGTAATTCATTGTTGCAGTACAGCGAATAGACGTCTGGATAGCAATGCGTACCATAAACGGTTCAGTACATTAGGCAGGCAATTCTTGTGAGTCCGAGTTGAAATTTGTCACTAGATTCCGAATTGGGATATATATATATATAAATATAAATATATATATATATATATATATATATATATATATATATACATATATATATATATATATATATATATATATATACATATATATAAATATATACATATATACTTACATACAGACATACGTACATACATACATACATACATACATATGTATACATACATATATATATATATATATATATTATACATATATATATCTAATGTATATCTAATGTATATATATATATATAAACATATATATATACATATATACATATATATAGATATATAAAGATATATATATACA